AAAATATTTATTCGTAATATTTAAATAAATAAAATATTTTCCACTTCGTCGAAATCATTCGTGAAATTTTCATTGAATACCTGCTAACTTAAAATGTCAGTGGTCTATATTGAGTGGCTATAGCTGCTCTATAGTAGCTATTTCCGGCGAACGACCATAGTCGTCCATAGTAACGAAAGGGTTAAGCAAAAATTATGCATATGATTGTTCGTTAACACGTTCAACTCAAAGCAACATTTTCAAATAGAAACAAATTTTTAAAGGTCAGAAATGATTATTTTACATTTATGATTTTCAATTTCGTTTTACACTTGCAGCCACTTATTGCATCAATATTTAGAAAATAATTAGAAAATATCCTCATTGACGTACTGAAACTTGTGTGTGTATAGATCATTAGCGACTGATGTGGTCAGAATGTGTTAACGACTATAACTCATAACTGGAATTCTAATTCTTTAAGTTAACATTTACTTAGTACTTACATATGTACCTCCATGTAATATAAAATAATTTGCAATAAATGTCCTTCAACAATACGATACTTATAATATTCGCCTAATACATTTGGAAATGTAAATTATCGACAAAGAATCGAACAGAATATTTACAAATCGGTATTAACAATTGAATTAACAAAGTTGGTGTATTAACCTTATTAAAGTATTAAATTATATTGCAGAAGGACAAATAAACGTTTGCAACGTTGGCGTTTTAATTTACAAATCTTTGCCGGTTAACCAAAAAATTGACGTACCTAACAGCGATGTAATGACGCAAAATACAAATGGTTTGATGAATTTACAGTACCAAGGAGATTGGCGAGAGGAATTCAATATAGCAGCTGGACAGGTTCCTCCATTTGCACAGCAGTACGTGTTTCGAACGCTCATCGGATCGTACTCATAATCACAGGTTTGATCTTTTGAGAAACCTGAACAGACACTTTACAGTTTGTTGCTTCGAAACATTTTCGAGGTTCCTTCAATTTGTCTAATTGCTAAATTCCGATTACTAGATTTCAAATCAGACTTCAGGCACGTGATGACCGTTCGAAGTCTCAGTCTGTCGCTATTTCAGTTAGAAAATATGAACACTTTACAATAAAACTAACTATTTTCAAATATAAGAAAATGCAGCTGACAACTTTTAATTAGTTTCGTTTTAAAGGAATTCGATACTCCTCGAGTAAAAGTAGATTAAAACATCTCGCATGTACAAATGTAGGAATATTTCAAGTTTCGTGTGAACAAAAAATATTTTATTACATCGAACATTTAAATATGCATTTTATCAGGAATGTGCAAAATTTAATATTGCCTTTATTTTCTCGTTCTCACATCTCTTAAGAAATATAATTTCTACGCATAGTGCCTACACTCAAGAACGAAATACAAACTTAACAGAATTGATTTTTCGTTTAAAAAAATACGATTTCATTTTAGAAAATACATTCGTACATTTTTTAAACCTATATTTTCTTCCATTATTGCATACAAATTATCTTGTAATTTGTATAACGAACGTTTAAAGTGTACGATTTCTTTAAACGGATCTCTTTTTACTTGTTTTGTAACATGCGACGTTATGTCGATAAATATCATCAACTAATTTCTTGTAGAAAAGTATTTTGATTTGATTATACGTATAATAATAAGCTACCAATAGAAAGTATCGTTGATCTTATAAAATATACAGTTGCGGTCATTTATTTCCGGACACTTTTAGAACGGTACTACTTTTTTCAAATTGGACCAAACGATTTGAATGTTTTTGAGAAATTAGAAGGATTAGAAGGATTTTTTCAAAATTTTTTGTACATCATCTAGTATACTAATCCTTCTAACTTCTAATCCTTAAACTCAAGTCGTTTGGTCCAATTTTAAAAAAGTTGTACTGTTTTAATAATGCCTGAAAATTAACGACCTTTAACTGTATGTATACACGCGTATGTGCATATGTACACGTTCTTAATATATCTTACTTAATTTATAACATAACGAACAAAAATTGTCTATGAATCTTTTCTTCAATATTTTTTTTTTTAAATGATATTCATATGTCATAATCTATATAACCATTTTAACATTACTTTCAATATTCAAGTATCACAGTGTGACTAAAATTCTGATGAAACACCTTGTTTAACATGGATGAACAAAATTTTCGTTCAAATTAAAACGAACATGTACGAAAGTTATTAACTTTTAAAAAAATATGGACCATGTTTTTAATAAGATAATAACAACAGAAGAATGCAACGGAAACATAAAGCACTATCTTCGCCCTTAACATTAATATAGTACTACGATAAATAGATTTATATAAATTATATGTAATAATAGAATATGTACTTCTTGTATTTATACATCTAAATGCAATCGATTTGTATTATGGCATCTACGTTTGCACAGACGGAATAGGAGAACACTCTTGTTACGATTTGTCTAAAAAATTATTTTGTAACAAAAACTTTTCTGAATTCGTGTACACAGACTTTTCAGTTTAAATCGTATAACCGTAATGTTTACAAGATAGGACATTGAAGCGTCAAGTACACGAGTGCATATGTCACACATACCGCATTCTAGATTCTAAGGGTACATTTTTTAGTAAATCTAGCCGTAATTGTTCAATTTTTATTTGCCGTCAGTTAAAATTTCTCAAGGAAGTGTGTATTCGTACATTGAGCCTGCTTTCGAAGTCGTAATTGTTGTACTGATTTTGAGCTCTCAAAAGAATCGTTCTTCCTTCGTCGACGTTCTGAAATAAAATATACATAAATTAAGTGTTGATTAAACAACGAGATAGAAAGAACATTTGTTGCAATTGTGTAACATTTAAATTTTAAAAGTAGTTTTAATATTGGTAATCCACGTACAATATGATACTTGATCATTTAAATTTTTTAAAGAGAATTTTTTACTAATATAATTAATAGTTTGTAAGTTCAAATTAACTTTTGTAATTTACTTTTTCTCTTTAGATATTAATTTTACCGGTTGTTATATTTAAATATTTAATATTGCCAAAATTAATTGCTTACGTTAATAGTACAAAGTGTAGTTCCAAGATCGTAAAGCGCAAATGCGCTAACGTGTTGATCGTAGGCATCATTGGACGGATTACGACGCCTCAAACAATTTCGATAACTTTCAATCGATGCTTGCGTATCGCCAAGATAGGAATAGGCTGCTCCTTCGATTAAATCGGTTAATCCAACCATTGGTTCGTTCGTACCATTACTTTTGCATTCTAAAAATATAATTATGAATAAAATGATCGTAACGAATAATGTACAATACATACAGTCTGTTCGGTTACTCCTGGAAGAAATTTCAAAGGGTAATTCCAGAAGCCAAAAATGAAAATCAAAAATAAAAAAGTTGCATTTGAGGCTTCGTTTTTTAGTTCTTAACGATTCTTTAATCCCCTGTGGTCGAGCAAACCGTCCTACACCAACGAATATAGGGCAAGACGTAGGGGGACAGTCACCCTCAAACGAAACTCTTGAGGAAACCAATCGTATCTTTTCTGATTTTTGTACAAGGTTAGAACTTATCTTCATTTCCCCGTCTCCTTCTTCTGCTTTCTCTCTTGTATATTATCTTTTAATTTCTACTCCCTGCTACTCTTATCTCGTCTAACCGTGTCTTGACGCGCCCTACATTCGTTGATGTATGGTGGGTTGCTCGACTACAGGGATATCTTTAAATATTAATAACTGAAGAACGAAGCCTCAAACGCAATTTTATTATTCTTGATTTTCGTCTTATTTTGGCTTATAGAATCACCCCTTAAAATTTCTCCCCAAACTCTAAGACTATTAAAAAATATGCAAAGTCTTCGAAATAAGTTAGAAAATTAATTTAATTAATTAAAAAATTAATTTGATAATTTCGAAATAGTTTTATTCGGTGCCAACGATAATAAATAATTAACTTATGAAAATGATATACTTAATATATGAGAAAATAATTCTTGGCAGATTTCAGTCCACCCGAATGAAATATTTTCAGCAAACCATTTCTTATTACCTAAAAGTATTTCTCGCAACGACGCAGCAGAACAGGACGGCATTGCATTCCACAAGTACAGTAATTCATATACCAGCAATCTGTAGTACAAAGCTGTATAAGTCTGTTCAGTCTCTTGATTCAGGAGTTTTGGAACTCGACGTGAAACGAACATACCCAGTTGCGTCTCTTTGTTCATTTTGTTGTCACAATGAAGAATCTTTCGATACAAGGAGGCCACAATGTCAAATTTACCGATCGCTCCACAACAGACTGATGAAAAGTATTTGAAGAAGTAATGGAAACAAAAATGATGAAAAAAAGGAAGGAGAGATATAAATGTCTTACCAGTTGCTAAATAAGCATAAAAGCTCACTGACCACCTGGATTGCTGTCGCAATTGTGTTAAAGATCGATAAGCCTCTTCGTAACTCAAGCGAATCAAATGACACCAAGCCACTTCATGGAGGCACAATAATTTGATCTCCCTCTGACTCGAAGCATCAACAGCAGTTGCGTATGCTTGAAGAGCGCCATTTACGTTCGACTATCAGACAGAATTAATTGAACAGAATTTTAAGAAAAATTTACAAAAATTTTACAGCATGAAACGTATTAAATAAGAGATATTAGTATTATTAAATTACGACTAATACGAATACAATTTGGTATTTATTACAGTTTCATTTAATTTTATTAAATTTGTTTTCTTTCTCAATGTTCAATTTTTAATTATAACTTCTTTAATCGTTATTTTGTAAAGAAAAATTTGCAAATACTTTTAATTACCAGGTACATTTAAAATACAAATTTACAATTATACGAGACAGTATGTATTCGCATAAAGGCAAACATATTAAAACAATTTATGCATCTACGTTTACTTATTCTGTACTGCATGACATATGGAGTAAAATTACTTTCATTATTAAGTAATAACATAATACATTCAGCAGTAAGAATGTCGATCAAAAGAGGAACAGTTACATGTTATACATATGCATGAAAATAGGAAATAGAAAAGTAGTTGGACACTTATGGATGAGAACAATACATACTTAATATATACACTTACCTCGAGTCTTTCTATGCGACCAGTAAAAAAGAGAAAGATCGCGGAATTACTGAATTCCGGTTGACATTCTTCAATTAATGCTTTTGCAGCGTTTACACCGGCACGGAGATTGCTTCCATCAAGGGCGAAAAATGGACGAGCGATTGTGTGGTACCAAAGTAGGGACAATCTGTTATAAATTGAAAATGATAACATTATTAAATTATAACTTTCGTACATTCTCAAAATTCCACCTCCGTAATATTACGTTCGATAGAAACGTAACTTTTATCACATATTATACCATAAAATCTTCAATAATATAGGTTTTAGTAAATATAAATTTATTCTGCCCCTGAGTCAAAGCCAAGGGGAGTCAAATGGTCGAAAAATATCTATATTGCCAAAAAAATAATATGCAAATGAACTTACGTGGCAAGAGAAGCACGCATATCTTTGCTACACCTTGCATTCATTAACGCGGTGAGTCCTGCTTCTCTGTCACCCTCGAAGCCCAAAAAGTGGATCAATTTGAGAAGAGAGGGCGGCAATAAACTGACGCAGAGTTGGTAAATCCCGTAACCAAAGCTAACCGCCGACATTAACCGGGAGACTTCGTTCGGTTCAACGAAACTGCAAAAACACGTCATATTTACCATTTCTATCACTTTTCCAACCGAAGACTATCGTCAATTCATTACCAACAGCAAAAGAATATTTAAAAAAAAAAAACAATTTAAGTGATTAAATTGCATAAACGTCAAATCGCACACACATCATCCAGTTCTTGATTTAATGTATCGATCGCTTAGAATTCTAAATAAGAATTGAAATATAAGTGGTGTGATTTACAAAATTTTCTATGTTCAAAGAGTAATCGGTGTAATACGTATACACTATCGGCAGTATTTACATGTCAATAAAAGAAAGAAAGACATTCGCGGTAGTTTACATTGTGTAAAGATGAAAACGAAAAAACAAAAAAAAAAATACATGGGTTCGACAATGAGGACTGAGAAATGTTTGTAAGAAGAAACAACAATTACGGTGTCTGTTGTTCGGACGTGATGCCAGTGAGCGAGAGGAACATTGATAAAGAGCTTCGCAGACCTGAAGGTGATAAGAGCGATGTCGACTTGTTTATTGAATCGTTGCAAGACGGTATGGACCATTCCGAGGAACCTGGACTCTGTGGACTATTTAGCGAATACGAGGAGTCATTGCGTGGAGTGTTGCACCTCGTGTCGAATCCTATAAAAATAACAGTTACGAGAAAACGCTTCACTTTGATGTCGATTCGATGGTAATTCACGTGGGAAACACTTTATTAGCTTTCGTAGCAAATAAGTATTATGAATAGGGTATATCGGGGAGTGATGGACCACTTCTTCTTTTAAAGGTGGAATAAAAAGCAGAGTATATTAAATGAAGTTACAGTAATAATGTTCAATAACACTTTTTTTCAAAGATAAATATATGAAAAATTATAACAATGGTCCAACTATTTTATGCACTGGGTTAGTTGAACTAAAACGCATAAAAGCAAAGAACGCGTTAAAAGCGCTTCAAATTCGATACTATGCAGTAAAACTTGATAGAACATGTGTCCGTTTTTACATATCACAGAGACAAAATTGTAAGTGAGAAAGTTTTGCATCCGAGTTAAATTAAAAAGATGAAAGACATTTA